TTTTCTGCTTACCTTAAGCCGTACCATTTTTTTCGAAAAAGAAGAAATAAAAAAAAGGAAGAATGATGAATAAAACAATTGCTGCCCTATCCCAAACCCTCAGTCGATATAGCAGCACTCCACTCGAGTCAGGCTATTTGTCAGTCGATGTATGTACTAAAGCCCCTAGCAGCAGGCTATTTCAGTATGACGTCAGATTGCTTACTTTAGTACGCAATACTATTTATGTGTGTATATATATATATATATATATATATATATATATATATATATATATATATATATATATATATATATATATATATATATATATATATATATACATATATATATATATATATATATATATGTATATATATATTTAAACAATTTTAAAAATGTATTCGACAAAATAGAGTGCTCAATGTTCTTAAAATAACAGAGCAATTATAAATTAGTAGAAAATCACTTAACAAAATTTTTATTTTATTTTACACTGTGTTTCATCAACAAAGACTCATCAGAAATGAATTCATCAGAATTTTTTTTTTTACACTGTGTTTCATCAACAAAGACTCATCAGAAATGAATTCATTTCTGATGAGTCGTTGTTGATGAAACACAGTGTAAAATGAAAAAAATGAAAAAAAAATTTGTTAAGTGATTTTCTACTCATTTATATATATATATATATATATATATATATATATATATATATATATATATATATATATATATATATATATATATATATATATATATATATATATATTTAGGAGTGAAACTCAGTGAAGCTTACATGCCTAGAATGGATACTGGTAATGTTAAAGAAAGACTTTCAATGTTTGTAATTATAAGGTGTTGAAAATTTTTGTTATCATCAGGCCCAGCCAAAAAGTTGGATATCATCAGAATTATTAGAGGAGTAAATCAAAGAAATTAATCAAAACTTGAGTTTTCAGAAAAAAAATTTAGTATTTAAAATGTTTTATGTGTTTTTAAATAAAATTTAAAAACACATAAAACATATTGTAATTAGGCTTTAGAATCATTTAGAATCTTTAGAGTTTGTTTCATTACTATGATTAGATGAATCTATTATTTGTAAAAAGCCAGTTTTCTATAATTTAAAAACCTTTTTAATTCAAACTTATTTTTACCTATAAAACTTAAGAGATTTTGTATAGTATACTAAAACATGTTTACTTGAACACAACATTTTAAATAACTCTTTCTAAGAACTGCTTTATTTAATACATAAAATTTGTAAACATTGTTTTTCAAAAAGTTGTACATACACAATTATACATAATAATTACATGAACTGAAAATTAAATTAAATAACTATATTAATAACGATAACTACTAAAACATATAAAACAACTTTAATTACTTCAATAAAAATGGAAGAAATCTACATCAATTATGTCTGTATTATTTTCCTGATAAAATTCATTCATCATTCCCACCTGTTAAAAATTTATCAAAAACCTATAACACCCTTAAAAGTAACGCCTCAACACCCTCAAGAATATACTGACATAATTAATAGACAACCCATTAAAATTATTAATTTTACTTTGCTGGTTTCAGATTGCACACAAATACTGCAACTCGATTCTAAAAGTAGAAAAAAAAATCTTTCTCATTAATTTATATACTTTTTTACTTGAACCCATACTTTTTTACTTTGAACCGAGATATACAATTTAAAATATTTTTTTTTTGAAATAATACAGATGAGAACTTTGTTTTTATGTAGCCTTTCAAAAAACTAAAAAAAAAGTTAATAAATACTTATAAATTAAATAAAATTATACAACAAGTTGAATATTGTTTAATCTGGCGATTGTTTTTTAACACAGAATGATGTAGGTTCAATGTTTTATAATTCTTTGGTATGATAGGTTTAATAATAATTTCTCATTATGATAGACATGTTTTGATAGACAAATATTCTTTGCAACAACTTGTTTCAAAAAGTCATTTTTTTTTTTTTTTTTGACATCTTCACGTTTAACAAGGCTGCAACTAACCACTAGAGTTTTATTTTACCATTAGAGTTGGGAGTTACTGAAAGAAAATACTTATATACATTGTAAATAAAATACTTATCATATTTTGCAATGACATCGTAAATATAGGAAGCATTTTTTTAACGGTGAAAAGGTAAAAAATAAATAAAAGAGCAAAAGAAAAACAAATAAAAATTGTTTAGAACATAAGATTTGAAAAATCAAACAATGAAATTAATAGAGAATAAAAATTGAAGAAAAACATTAAATAAACAGAAGAACTAAACAAAAAGTTAAAAGAATAAAAATGTTCGTTATAAATTCAAAGATAAAAAATTTAATAAATTATTAAATAAAAATTGGTTTTTATTAATTTATGTTGTTTGGATTGTTTATACTGTCATGCATTTTTGTGTATTGTATATTATGTCATGTGTTTTTGTGTTCTTTTTATACTGTTGTGTATTTTTAAGTTTTGTTTATACTGTTGTGCAATTTTGGGCATCATTTATATTGCCATGCACATTTGTGTATTGTTTACATTGACATATATTTTTTTAAGTAGCTTTGTTGCCTATTATTTTTATTATTGTTGCTTTTTATGTTTGTTGCTATTATACAAATTAATTTTTATTTTTGTCTCATCATAATATTTAAAAATATCATTTTATTTTTATTTTCTATCATCCTTCTGATTGTCGAATATTATGTTTCATTCATAAGCAGTATTTGTTTATTTTATTAAGGTGTTACTCTAATGACTAGTTTTTAACTATACGAATGACACTGAATCTAATTTTGTAAAATTGTAAGTAAATTTTTCAATTTTATGGTTAAATAAATGGATAAAAAAAAAAAAAAAAAAAAAAGATAGAAAAAAGATGAAGTTTATAGAACAAGATAACGATTGATAAACAACTTAGAAGATTGCAAACTATATGAATGAGAAAAACAAGATAAAGGAAGTCAATTCCAAAGAACTGATGTTCGAAAAAAAAAAACTAGTTGAATAAGAACTTTTTTATGAGACTTGACTGAATGACGAGTAACAGGAGAATGAATTTTAGTAGATGGCACAAGAGAGTAGCTCTTTAGAGCAATGCCGATTTTACAGTCTTGGTCAGGAAGACGTGCGATTGCACATCTTTATATGACCACGCAAATAATACTTTGACACGCAAATAATGTTTTGACAATTTGATCTCAGCTGTTTTGAAAATCTTGATTTAAAAAATGCACTAAAAAAGCTTATCTTAGCTTAGACTAGACGTAAGAGAAAATAAAGATAATCTATTTAAAACTCCCAAAAAAAAAGATAATTTAATTCTTTTAAAAATCATTTCATGCTTTGATTAAATATATATATATTTTAAACATTTAAACAGGAACATTTATTCGTAGAAAGTGTTAAATAACAAAAGAAAAAAATTCAAATTTTTTAAAACAATTTCCTAAGTAAATAAGATAAACAGAAAAAGATTCCAAAAAACTTTTTCGTAGTAATATTAACAAAAGAAATAAATCAGTTCCAATAATAATCAGAATTCAAACTGATGGCTAATTATATTATTTACTAAAATTAATTAATAGTTATTACCATATTCTGAGTGAATTCCTTTTTTACTTTGTAATTTAAAAGCTTTAATTGCAACAATTTTTTTTATTATGTTACATTTTTAAAGAGACAATTGCTTGTTTAAAGTCAATAACTATAAAAATAAATTTGATGGAATTTTTTTTTAGATAAATAATTAATATTCTTTCAAGGAAATTTGTTATCTTTTTAAGTGTATTAATTTAAAAGATTCTTATATAATGTTCATTAATAAAACTATCATTGTCTAAAAAAGTTGTTTATAAAATCCAAATAAGTTTATTACTTTTTTAAAATATTGTTTATTATAAAAAAATGCATACTTATATAATTTTTATAACAATATATTTATACAACAGAAAAAAATTATATACAACGTTTATTGAAAGTTGAAACAAAAACCATTATCATTAATTTATACTTTATTACTAAAAAAGTTTTGCTAATATAAGAGCATTTGTAAAGATAAAGGTTTCGATGTTATTCACTTTATTGCATAATTAATAAATCATTTTTATTCAGTGCGATTATGTAAGCGCGATATGTAAAAAGCTGTGGTCAAATCGTCAAAACTGTATGTTATTTGCATAGTTATATAAAGATGTACAATCGCATGCCTTTAACTTTATATCTTGCCTTTATATCATGCCTATAACTTCATATCATCGAAATCTGCCCCAGATATGGGCAGCATACAATACCAGCAAACAATACCACTTTCGATTTGAGAATTTCTAGAAGATCGTTAATGTAAATTAAAAAGTAGTATCGGGCTAAGAATAGAACCTTGAAGAACCCCTGAAATTCCAGGATATAACGTAGAGTGTTGTCCATTGAGGACAACTTTTATAATACGATTGGTAAGGAAGGATTCAATAATCTTAAAGATGTTATATGATACACTGTAAGAAGAGAGCTTATGGAGAAGACCAGCAAGCTAAACTTTACTAAAGGCTTTAAAAACGTCAAGCGATAGCTTTAGCTTCTCCACATCTATCTAATGTACAATAAAACCTATTGGTGATTATTGGTTTTATTGTGAATTAGATAGATGAATGAGAAGATCAAAATTCATATTGATGATCAGAAAGTAAGTTATTAGATTCAAGAAGAGAGATTGTGTTTGTTAATTAAAGACTCAAAAACCTTGCTTATGATAGAAAGAAGGGTAATGGGATGTTAGTTAGACGAGTCAGATCGCTCTCCAGGATTTTTGAATATAGGGATAACAGATGCTCTGTTCCAGCAGGATGGAAAACTAGTCTCTGAAAAACACTAGTTAATTAGATTTAAAAGTGTAGACGACAGCTTCGAAGAACACTTCTGCAAGACTATAACAGCTATGTTTTCTGGACCACAAGCTGTAGAAGAGTTTAAGCAGGAAATTACTTTACAGACGCTGAAGTGATCCAAATATTAGGCAATAGACTAACCTGCTTTTCGGCTATATCAGGTAGAACACGACTAGTGGAATAGAGATGATATTGATGAGAAGTTCTTAGCAAATAATTCAGCATTGTCTTTAGGCGAGGTGACAAAATCTGAACCAAACAAGAGAGGTGGAGCAGCGAATTTGCCCTTATTATAGATACTGTTAAAGATTCCCCAGAAGTCACAAGAGACTAATTTTTGAAATGAAATACAAGATTTCTTGACCTGAAAACAGCAGGCTTTGGAGTTAAACAAAACCTATTTACAAAAGTTTCTTAAATAGTAAATAGACTGTATTCTGAAGAATAGTTTTGCTGATAAATTTGAAAGTAATGGTTTCAATTGGAAATAGCAGCAGCACAGTGAGAGGATAACTAAGGAGAAGAGTGTGGCTTGACTTGGAATTGTCGAGAGGGAATAAAAGCTTCCATGCCAGCCTGAATCCAAAAAGTTATGTAGGAAGCACATTTGTCACCAGGAAAACAAAAGATTTCTACCCAAGGGCCATTACAAAGAAAACCACAGAAAGAGTGCCAATCAGTTTTAAGGTAGTTCAAAGAGGTTCAATGATAGGGACCCTGATGATAATGAAGAATGAGATAATAGTTTTAGAGAGATCAAACTGTGATTAGAACCAATTAAGAGTGAATGCAGAGAAACGGAGCACTGACTAGGATCAGAAGCAAAGCATAAGTCGAGTAGACAAGGTAAATGATTCGGATTGTCTAGAAAGCGAGTTGAAAATTTTACTGTTTGAGTTAGATATTAAGAAAGTCAAAAGTTGTAGGCCTTAACGCTTAACTGTTACTACTAGGTAGAGGTTACTTCAAGTAAAGCTACACCTAGTGTCCTTGCTGAATAACTAGAATTCCAATAGATTCAGGAATTTCAGTAGATTTAGACTAGAAGTTTTTTAGCTATATTTTCAATACTTGAGGTATATGAGGCAAAGTTGAGGCAGATTTTATCAAACAAAAAATCTAACTTTATTTAAAGAAATATTCATATTTTTTTTATTTCTGCTTTTTAAACTTTTTGACTAACCTGTAGTATAAGGTTGAAATGAAAATAAATTGCTTGGCACTGTAAACATTAATATAGAAAGTCTGTAACTGGTTGCTGGTATAAACATTAGAACTTAAAAACTGTAACTTTCTCAAGTTTCACTACCAAAACTTTGCTTTTATTTTCTATTGACATAATTTTTGTTTGTATGGCTTTAACATTATTCATGGCCATGTTTGAGTCTCAGAAACTTTTATTTTTTTACATTATGTTTAACTATAAGCTTAAAGTTCAATCATATTCTCCTAATAGAATATATTTAGTGCGATCATATTCATATGATAGATTTGAACAGTAATATCCAATACTATAGAATATATTAAGTATTAAACAATAGATTTAAACAGTAATATCCTAATACTGTAGGATCAATTGAGTACTAAACAATAGATTTAAATGACATAATTAAAAAATACTTTAAAACAATTTAGATAACCTAGAAATTTAAATGCAATCCTAATAAAGAAGTAAAAGTATGTATTGCCAAACAATCAAGAAAGTGTACACTAACCAGGTGAAAAAGCTAACTAGGTATCAAAACAAAAAATATTGTGAAATATCTGAAAAATACTTAAAGATTCAACTAAACATTTCATACTTTTAATCACTTTTAATTAATCATAAAAGTAATTCAAAATCTTTATCAAAAAATATTTATTTTACAGCATTTTTTCTTAAACCATTCTGATCATTCAATCATCAAAGGTATCAATATATCTTTATCACACTATATTTATTTATCGCACTATATTTATCACACTATAATGATTTATCACACTTTATTTTTTTATCACACTATATTTACTACAACATTTTTGCATATGCTAATATAAATAAAAATTGTAATTTTTAGAAAAACCTGTATTTAAAAAAAAAAAAAATTAAACCCCATTACAGTGGTACATAAGTATAAAAGTTATTATACACTTTGAATCACACTCATAATATATACATACAGTACACACATGTTTGTCAAAATAATTAGAAAAAATTCATTTTTTTCTTTTTAGTTTTTTTTTTAGTAACTTTATTTTATATGAAATATATTTATTTTTATAAAGTTTTTTAGGTTTCTGACTGAGGAAATGATCTCTGAGTTTCTACTTGTTTAAATGTTCCTTTACTTATTTTATTAAATATAGATAAAACATTCAATAATTGTGACAAAATAAAATAAAATAATTATTAATTAAACAGCCATCTGAAGTTAACTGTATGACAAAATTATTAATAAACATACCTGCATGGATTCAATTGGAACATGTTTAACCAAACCACTAACAATTGTACGAGGATTGCTCTCACCAAGATCCACTTATAGAACAAACATGATAACATGACATGATAACAAACATGATAAAAAGTTAATCTCTATCTTTTATTACTATTTTTAAAATCTTTATTTTTTATTGGTGTTAACTGCGTAACGACCGGGTTGATATTTGATGGTCACTTCCTAGGGTTAACTGCAACTTTATTGCAAATTAATAAGTGAAAACAGTTTATAATACATTTATAATAAATTTAAAAAACACCTAATATTTAAATACTATTAATTTCAGTCATTTCTCCTTAGGTTTCTCTTTAGGTTTATATAGACTTCACTCTTTTAGGTTTATATAGACTTCACTCTTTTAGGTTTATATAGACTTCACTGTTTTATTATATATTGCATAAAAATATCAGTATATAATTAACATAAATACCTTGTTCAACATATAAAGAATCTGCATCAGGATGTTTCTTCACATCAATTATTTTACCAATCTTCATTAATATTCGCGAAGCATCAATTGGTTTGTTATCATCAGTAGGTAAAACTATAAATAATTTTGATAGTTATTTGACTTATTAAAGCATATTTTTGACTTTATAGACTTATCGAAGCACATTTTTGATTTTATAGACTTATTAAAGCATATGCTTGACTTGATGGATTTATTGAAGCATATTTATTAAATAAAGTAACTGCTTGAAATACTTTTTATTTTTTATAGATGCAAGGCACAAATTGTGAAAAAACATAGTTTTGATATGATTTTGTATAGATTTAGAAAAAAAGAGAAATATTTTTTATATACTAATCTCAAAAAAAAAAAAAAATTAATTATTAGGTGTAAAAAGCTATATCTTTATTTGATGTAACATGTTTCAATTATACTTTAGTTTATTTGGGTATTGTGTTTAAACTATTACTATGCATTACTAAAAGATGCATAGTAAAAATGGAAGACAATGCTTCACTTTTAATTACCTTGTTTTATTTTAGTCGAATCTGGTTCTGCAGTTTTTTCTTTTTTGCTAGAAGCAGGCATATCCTTGATAGGTAAAGTGTTTGAATCAGATAGAGCTTCTTTCTTTGTAACATTTTCAGCAGATGGAACACTAACCAGTTTAACTTGAAACAAAAATAAAAATACCAAATTTATTCTTTCATAAACTTTTGTAATATTACAAAAATTTATGTAGGAATAAATTTGGTGTTTTTATATTATATTATAATTATATAAATTTTTACAACTAATTAATAACATAAATCAGGGTGACCAGGCAATAACTAATTCAAAATTCCAGGATATGTTGATGTTGAAAAAAACAAAAATGTTGATTTAAAAAAAAATATGAAAATGAAAAATAACTAATTAATTAGTAGATGTTAATAATAACATTATACAACTTTTTTTTTGCATTACATAAAATACATTATTATCAAATTGAGTATAAATTTCTGCAAAATTAATAATAACTCTAAAAACTGCAAAATTAATAATAACTCTAAAATAAACTTTTTCAGAAAAAAGTTCCAGAATTTCCAGGAACTATTGCTATAAAGGGAGTTTTTCCAGGACTTTTTTGGGTTTTGAAGGACCGCTAGCCACCTTGTAAATTTTTACAAAATTATTATTATTTAAGAAATTCATTTCTTATTGCATCTATCATCACTTATCACCCTAATCATCTATTATCAAACAATTTGTTCATTGCTATCCAATTTATTTATGCTCACATCACTGTTACATAATAGTTCATTACACCATCACCATTTGTATATTATCATACTATTTATATAATCCAACCGTTTAAGAATCCTTTTATTGTATCTGTCGATGCATATTCTAAAAACTTCAATTTGTTTAGTTTTTATCCCCGCACTTCAACCCTTTGAAATTCTCACTAATTTTTATGCTTTTTTGACATACAACCAACAACTTTTAAAGTCTTCTGTCAACCGTTTTTTTTTTTTTTTTTTTTTTTTTTTTTTTTTTTTTTTTTTTTTTTTTTTTTTTTGCTCTTTAAGTCTATTTTTTGTTTTTTAGTAACTCCTAACTTGGAAGTGGTTGCTTGCAGCCTTGTTGGGAGCAAATTTGAATTTTTTAAAAAAAGATAAGAATTATAATACCTCCATTTTGAGCTTCATAAAACCTTAAATCAGTTTTTAATTTTGAAATTTCTTCTTGTAGCCTTGCATTCTTTTCTAACAAGTTTATTACCTCAGCCTAAAAAATTTTTTTGAACAAACATAATATAACAATGTTAATAAGTAATAAATTATAAAACTCACCCTTATTAATAATAACAATAAAAAACCGTAAAAAAAAAAGAAAAGTTTTTTATAAATTAAAACTAAAAAAATGTTGTCGATTTTGACTACTTGTTTGACTATTTTTGATCAACTTACGGATGGCAAGATTTTGATCAACTTATGAATGGCAAGAATTTATAGAAAGGAAAACTTGAGCTTAAATTATGGTACTGAAGGTACTGCAAAGTTGTTTAGTAAAAAGTTAAAGTAAATTAGGGAAAATGTCAGCTACATTGTGGCAAAAGCACAGCTTGTCTTTCTAACTAAAGAAGCTAAAAAATGTTTGGTAACGCTTCCTCTAATCAGTGAAATTAAGGACCAAATAAAAAGGGTGAAAAAAAAAAGGGGTAAAAAATACTTTAAAACCTCTCTAGTATTACAATAAACACAAAAATTTAAAAAATTACAAAAAAATTAATTTTTTTTACTTGCTCAACTTCCTTTTTCTTTTGTTCTAAAAAACACAAAATATTATTTTTTAAAGAAAGTAAAGGAATTAGTTCAAACATCAACTTAATTCTTCAAAACTATGTTAAACTATATCTAAAATAAACACAATAGAAAATTATAACTTGCCAGCAACTTTTTTGAGGATTTCAAGCTGTTTTTTTAAGATGTTAACTTTCTGCTCAGCTGCTGTTTTTCTTTGTTGAAATTCTGCCATCATAAAAAACTTTCTTTGCAGTATTGAAGTACGAACAAATAAGACTTTGTTAAACATATAAAAATTCAAAGAAAACTTGAAAATAGAACATTTTTTAAAAAGAACTATGTATAAAAAAGTCTTTTTATACATATACACACTTATATATTAGAGTGGATTTAAAAAAAAACATTTTTATGAATATTTGTCCACCTTCCTAAAATGTATTTTTTATAACAATGTTCTAAATAATAAAACAAAGTTTCAAAAACTTCCTTATAAAAATTATTTTTAGGGTAGCTTAAGGTATTGCTTAAGAGATATCTTAAGAGTAAAATTCTTAAAAATATGTTAATGTGGGTTTCAAAACAAGTAAAATTATTTATAAACTTTTAAAATACTTCCATCTTATTTTACAAAACAACCACAGTTTTATATAATAAAATCTAATAAATTACATAAGCGACCCCTAAAAATTATGAGAATAATTAGAAACTTGATTTATTTTATTATGTAAAACACATTTTGGAGTGGGGTGATAGTATGAAATACAACTTAAAATGTTGATTTAATATATATAAATATATATATATATATATATATATATATATATATATATATATATATATATATATATATATATATATATATATATATATATATATATATATGAACAAATTTAAAATGTATTCTACAAAATAGAGTGCTCAATGTTCTTAAAAGAATAGAGCAATAACAATTTAGTAGAAAATCACTAAACAAATTTTTTTTATTCAACACTGTGTTTCATCAATTAAGACTCATCAAATCATTTCTGATTCATTTCTACTAATGTGTATTTATATATTACAAAAATGTTAAATTGATATAAAAGTTAAATATTTATATAATTACTATATACATAATCCATAATTATTCATAATAGTAAATTTAATTACAGTGGCGTAAAAATATTAGAAACAACTCAAAAATTTATTGTCTTTTGTGCAAAGTTGTGTTTTTTAATATCAATTTAACAAAAATTGTTTATATACTATTTTAAATACTCTTACATTTAGAAAGAAATTAAAAAGAAATTAAATAAATTGAGCTTTTAACCACTTCAAACAAATTTGAGGTAAGTTGACCTTTCTTTTTAAAACTTTTCTTTTAAAATAATTTAATCTATCTTATGATTATTTTTAATGTTTTTTAAATTGTATTTATATTAAACAGGTTTTTGCTAAATGAAATAATTATTTTTCTTTTCTATTATATATTGCAAGATGAGCAAAGCCACATACTTAAACTTGAGTAGGAAGGTTCGAACAAGCCTTGCTAAAATAGATTATTTTCAAAGACACATGGCCAAGCTGTTTAGAAGTCAGAAAGTACTAAAATACAATCAACGAAGACCTGAAATTTCACTTTCAATAATGGCGTGGTTTGTAATGTTAGTAAATGGTATAGATTTAAGCAGTATATTTTATTTACTAACTAGCAAAAAACTTTTTGTCTTATTTTGTCTATCAGGGTTTCAGAGTAAAAAAAATAAGATTAGAATTGTGATTTAACTAACAGTTATCGTAGTGTACAGTACTATCATAGTGTATTAATAAGACCAACAGACTGTTAGAAGTTAAAAATTTTATTTAATTAGATTGATATAACAATTTATTAGACATAATAATTACAACTATAATCTCATAACAACAATAAATAAGAATATCCACAAATGACGTGAATTACATTAAATAAGAAAGAAATATGATAAATAATTAAAAAATAGGTCAAAAAGATAGTAACTAAAAACGCTTAACATAAATTTTGAATTTATTTTGTTAGTTTTGCATTATTTAAGGACTTTATACAATTTTACAAAATATTAAATATATTACTATAATAACTAATATAATAATGTTATGCCATTGTTCAACAATTATTCACATTCATATATGTTATAATGCTAATTATTTTATTCATTTTCTTCAAATTCTTTAAAAAAGAGTTTTTCAGTATTTTTTTCATTGACATAAATGGATGGCAAAGACCAAATTTGAATATTTCCTTTGAAATCACCAGTAGCAAAAATGTCCAACTGGGAATTATTTAATGCTATAGATGGCACTGGAAGATGTTCCTGCTGGATAAGTAAAGTGGAATCTGCAGAAACTGAATTCAATAATAAGTCATAAATAATAAAATTTCCATCAGCACTAAGCAGATAAAAAACTGCTGGTCTACTTAAAGACCAACGCGCTGATAGCAAATACTTTGATGTGGGTTCTATTATGAAAATTGGTTTTCGTTTATTTAAACAATATACACGAACAGTCATATCAGAACTGCATGTCAGGAACAAATCATCAACACACTGTGAAGCGTCTATTGAGTTGACACTTACAGTATGCCCTTCAAAAGAAGTTGTTGCAGCATACTCCTTCCTCTCTTTACCACTTATATCAAACTCAATGGAACATCTAAATACAGAACCATTTTCAGTTCCAAGTAATATATGACTTAAATCACTGGGACATTGAGTAACACAAGTAATACCCAAAAGAGAATCTGACTTTGAATTTTTAAAAGTATGCATTCTGTTTGATGGTAATAAAAAACATTTATTCAATATAAGTTCTTTTTTAAGTTGATTAAATTCCCATACACATATTTTACCATCTAATCCTGAACTTACAAATTTATGACTTCGTGAACTTTTTGATGTCATCCATAAAACTCTAGAAACTGGCTCTTGATGAGAAAATTCATCTTTGCCAGAAAAACAAATTAGATAATTATCTTGCTGACTAAGGTCCCAAATATAAATTTTTCCTGAGAAATCTCCCCCAATAATCAAAGCTGATTCATTAGGATGAAATGAAAGTGAAGTAATGCAAACATCATTTTCAATAATTTTATCAGGTCTACCAAAGTTAATACTATCACGATCAATATTCCAAAAGCATACAAAAGACTGATGGATGCACCATGACTCATGATCACCACAACCTAAAGCAGCAGCTATTACTGAACCAACAGCATTCCATGTTAAACTTGTAACAAGTTTCTCACTGGGTAAATCACTATATTTTAAAGAGTATTTACATACAACTTCAGTTAATTTTTCATTCTCATTCCAATCAACAACATAGTCATCAAAAGCATGACTACGTATATTTGCAATAAGTTGTTCACTGATAAGTGGCTCAACACTTTTAATAAAATCCACCAACTTTTTAGAATTATCTATTTGAATTAATGTAGACTGGGGAAGGATTTGTTCAAAATCAGTTTGAACTTCCTGTGTTTTTTTATCAGATGATTGACATAAAGCATTCGAGGTCTGAAGCTTCTTTGTTTGTGAAGATTGGTCGGAAACGTATTTCTCTACTCTGACATCAGATAAAATTTCGACAACATCAAAAACTTCATCCTTGAACATTTTTATGAACTGTAAACATCAAATAACTTTAATTGCTTACAGAAGATTTTGTCGAGACATTCATATTTTTTCAGAACTGATTTTTGTATGAAATGTTATTTTAAAAACTAGTATTTAATTTTAAAAAATAATTACAATCTCATTCCAATTTTTTTTAAACTTTTTTTATTTTGTACCTAGTCTTTTTTGCATATATTTATTATGTAAAAAAATCTTATGAAATTTGTTTATTCATTCAAACCCATCTAGAAGTTTGCTAAAATTGTTGCCGTAGCATTAACATCACATTAGCGTTTAAATTTTATGCATATCCTCGTTCGTCCACGTTTACGAAAAAACCACGGTATCGGAACCGGTCATCAATTAAACCTGTCATTTCGAAAATGACACAACTACAAAACTTTTAACAGTTGGTTTATAAACTTAAAATTAACATTTCTGTATAATTTATGATATAAGTTCTTTATTTATCCACTCCTATGTTTATTTTGTTAAGCCGCGTAGACATTTTTTAATAAAAATCATTTTTCTGTTGATTTTGAAAAGTTTTAATAAATCAACTTGTGTCTTTTTTGAAATGACAAGTTCAATTATCATACCATAAATTTTTTTTTTTTTGTCACAACAATTATCTCTCTGTAAAATAATTTTTTTTCAACGCAGAGATTCTACTGCCGATTTGTTGACGAGAATAACTGATATCAGTTAGTATCAATCAGTTATTAATTAATTTTCATATTATTAAGTTTATTATATATAATATCTTGTATACTATACTAAATATATTATACAAAAACATATTAGAACGTTATATATAGAAGAGGAATATATAAAAAAACATAATAATAAGTATATATATAAAAATATGAATATGATAATAAGTATAATAAGTAAAAAGGGCAAGGGGATAAACAGGGTATGTTAGTTTCATTAACATGTTGTACAAATCATAGAATCTTCAATATCAAATTTGAAGGGTAAAAAACATTTCTTTCTACTTAACATCTGCAAGTTCTCAATTTAACTATTTAATAGGTTCAGGTTTCTTTCTTTTTGTTTTTTTAATTTTTTAAAAACTTATTAATTTTGAAAATAAATAAAAGTTTCACTTAAGAAGGCGTATTTTTATAAGTGAAACTTTTATCTATTTTTGAAAGCAATTATTTTTTTGTTTTTCAAAACCGATTGCAATTGTCTTTTCAATTTATTTTTATAAGTATTTATATAAATTTCTACAATTTCTAGTATCTTTAAACTGTTAATATGCTTTTAATGTTGCAAAAGTATAAGAATTACTTGTTAATTCAACTAACAATGGACTAGTTGTTATTGATTTTAAACTACCAGCTTTATAACGGTTGGTTACTAAAAACTCGGACTAACTCTATCTGACTTTTAAATGCCACAAGCTAAATTTTTTTCTATACTTATATTCATTATAAAGCTTATTTAATTCTATATAATCTTTTTTTTTTTACAATAAATTGAAAACATTTTAATGAATGACAATGTGAAATAAGCTTAGTTTTTTTTTATTTGAAATTTAAACTTTCGTGTTTGGAATATAAATTTACGAATTGTAAAAATATCATAAAAATAACTTTCAGCTGGATTTATAGATGGCATTTGAACCCATATTATTTTTCAAAAAGGCTTGCTCTCAATTGCACTGAAGATGATGCGCTATAGTAATTATTGTGATAGCTGATCAAAATTTGCTTTTAAGCAGTCGATACTGATAGCACTAATAACTAATTTGAGTTTAGCTGTTTCATCTTGTGATCTTAGTGTTGATGATTTTATATTCCAACCTACATTTTCTAAATTTAAAAACAGTCAGTTTAATTTTTTATCAAACAAGTATTCTTCCTAATTCTTATGCTACTCTACTGCTATCTATTATCCATTTTAAATTTATTCTCTTCAATGCTGGTTTATAACTACTAATACTTGATTTTTTTTTCTACTACTTTTTTCATTTTAATGCTGGTTTATTACTACTAATACTTGCTCTTTCTTAACTTTAACTCATTTTTTTATATTATTTTTTATACCACTATTCTATTTCAAACTCTCACTATCATTAATATTGATATTTTTATTATTGTTTATTATTATTTTTGTCATTATTGTTTATTATTATTGCTGATTCTTATATTACTATATCATTTATAATGTTGTAACTGTATATTATTATAACCTACTATTCTTTCATTGCTATATTTTAATTAGGTATGTAAAAGTATTATATGTTAGTTAGATGTATAACAGTAAATTAAATTTTGTTCTAAATATATTAAATTTCTTACTTTATTATTATTACATAAAATTAATCATTTAAGTATTGTACTGTCTACGTTTTTTTAGTTTTTCATTATGATGTTTAATTAGTTTTTGCACTATATGTAAATTATATTTGGCCTGGGCATTCACATTCGTAAAAACAAACCTATTTGTAGGGAAACTAGGTTTGAATCCACAAAATATTCTTTGACATGCTTTTTTTAGAATCTTTTCACTAAATTACACTTCTTTTTGTTTATATTGCTCTCTTTCGTCTTAAGATTGCACTCTTTTTGATATTATTTCTGATCAAATTGACAAAGCCCTTTCAATTAATCCTTCAATCAATATCGTTGTTGTTGACAACTTTAATGCTCAGCACCCTAAATAGCTTGGTACTAGTGTCAGTGAATCTGCAGGCGTTAAGACCTACAACTTTTGTCTTTCTCAATCTCTAACAAAAACATTTTCTAACTTGCTTTCCAGACAATCCAGATCATTTAACTTCTCTACTCGACTTATATCTTGTTTCTGATCCTAGGCAGTGCTCAGTTTCTCCTCATTCACCCTTAGGTGCTTCTGATCATGGTTTGATCTCTCTAAAACTATTATCTCATTCTGCTTTATCATCAAAATTCCTCTATTATTGCACCTTTTATAACTACTTTAAAGCTGACTGAGACTCTTTCCATAATTTTCTTTGTAATGCCCCTTTGGTAGAAATCTTTCGTCTTCCTGCTGATAAATGTGCTTCTCATCAACATTATCTCTTGATTCCACTAGTTGCGTTCTACCTGATTATCCAGCAAAAAGATTTATCTACTGCTTGACGTTCACACCACTCCAGCTTCTGTATCTAAAGTAATTTCCTCTTGACAACATACCTGTTATATACTTGCAGAAGTGTTCCTCGGAGCAGTTGTCTACATTGTTCAAAACTGTTATTAAGAGCTTATCAGAGTCTTGTTTTCTAGCCTGTTGTTTTCCAGCATCTATTATCTCTGTTTTTAAAAATTTTGGAAAATGATCTGAATCGTCTAACTACCGCTCCAATTAGTCTTCTTACTATCATAAGCAAGATTTTTGAGATTTTAACATTTAATCATTTATCTTGAATCTAATAACTTACTTTCTGATCATCAACATAGATTTTGATCTTTTTGTTCTACTACTGATATTTTTCCGGTAATAACCAATAGGTTTTATTGTGCACTAGAGAGATTTTGCACTGGGGAGAGTCTGAGACTATCGCTCTCAACATTTATAAAACTTTTTATAAAGTTTGGCATGCTGTTTGTCTCCATAAGATTTCTTCTTACGGTGTATCATATAACATCTTAAAGATTATTAAATTCTTCCTTACCAATTGTAGTATAAGAGTTGTCCTCGATGGACAAAACTCTACTTCATATCCTGTAAAATCAGGGTTTCTTCAAGGTACTATCCTTGGCCCTATACTACTTTTTAATTTACATTAACAATTTTTCAGAAATTCTTTCATCTATGGTGACATTGTTCGTACGATTTATTCTTATCCCAATAAGAAGCCAACACTCTCTGATTGTTTGGAGGGGATACTTAAACTTGAAAAGGATCTCATTTCTGCTACAGCATGAGGCTCTCAGTAGCTGGTAAACTTTAACTCAGATAAAACTCAACTTTCTTAAGCTAACCGTTATCGCAATAATCTAGAATAAAAGTAGTATCTGCTAAGATTGCATCTCTTTATTGTGCTTGCCACTTTCTCGCTCAGGATTCTGTTACTTATATCTATCATTTTCAAATCCACCCTTGTATGGAATACTGTTGCCATATCTGGGATGAATCTTCGAATGATGGCTTTTCTCTTTTCGACAAGATGCAAAAACGCATTGTAAGCATAGTTGGACTTGCTCTTGCAACCAATCTCCAGCCATTATCACATCGTCAAAATGTTGGTTCTCTTTTGCTTATCTATAAATACCTTAATGAGCTCTAAAGAACTAGCGTCTCTTGTACCATCTACTAAAATTCATCCTCGTGTTGTTCGTCATTCAAACAAGTCTCCTCATCCTTTTACTGTAACTGTTCATAAGTGCTCCAAAAAATTTTATTTGTCAAATTTTTTTCCTCAAAAATCAGCTTTGGAATTTGTTCCGTTCATTTTTTTTTCCTGATTAATATAATTTGCAATTTAAGTTGTCTTTTGATTATTGTCTTGCTTTATAAACTTTGTCTTTTCTTTTCTAATCACTTCCAACTCTTATAGTCGCTGCTTGTAGCCTTGTTGGAAGTGAAGATGTTGAGAAAAAAAACTTCTTTTGTTTAATAGGATGAGCAAAAAAGTTGTAGAAGGAGTCAAAGCGTACTTGGCAGTTGATGAAAATTTCACAATGAAAGCACAAATTTTTAAAGTAGTAGCAGCCTTGCCTATATCAGGACCTGGCCAGATATCAAGCAGAATTATTGGCTTTCAGGTAGATGGAATCGAAGATGTTTTGTTCAAAACGTTAATAATATGTTGAAGTTTTGAGATTTCAATTCGATGCGTTGGTGAAACATAGATGCGGTAGTAGTTGATGCGCTTGCCTCATAAGCAAGAAGTTCCGATTTCAATTCCCACCACGTCTTTGATAGTACTGTGCTCAACTTTTTTTTCAGCACAGTAGTCTTGTTTCTTAAGATTAGTGTTTTTGAGTTATAGAGTTGAGAGATGGTTGTACCCACCATTATATTAGCCTCCTCAACTGTAGCGGTCTTTTTGACCTTAAGGAGGTGAAATTAAAAAAAATAAAAAAACTCGTTGATATGGAACTTATAGTATACGGTCAGAATAAGTGTTGATGTAGGTAAAATAAGTAATTGGGTAAGTAAATTGATTAAAAGTTAAAAAAAAAAGATTTTAAAATAAGTTAGTTGATAATTGAAAAAAGATTTAAAAAACTTTTTAACTTTTTTTGGGTATATAAATAATTTTTTTTTGTATTTACAAAATTAGGATATTAAAACAAATAAGCAATTGTTTTGTC